CGCGTGGACCCCGGCGGCAGAGCCCACCTCACCCTGGGTCTCCGCCAGCTGCCGGTTGCGGGAGTTTTGCTGGATCAAGCGCTTCATCTCCTCCAGCTCCGCGTGCTCCCGCATGTGGTGCCGCTTCAAGTTCTCCACGTGTTGGACCATCACCTCTGCTGCTCGGCTCATCCGGGCCTCCTGCAGCCAGGTAGGATGGGGGATCAGGGACCAGGATCCTCCATCTCCTGGTCCCTAAGGACCCATTGTGCATCCCACAGTGTCTCCACTCAGGGGGTGCAAGTGCATCCCCTTCCAGCACCCAAGGGTGGGCAGATCCCTTACACCTCGGTATGTGCAAACACGAGGTCATCATCAACACCATGAGGAGGAGGGTCAAACCCCAGCAAGGCCAGGGATGTGTCCCCATGCCCAGCTGCAGCACCCTCCATCTCTCCCAGCCCTGGCAGGGGGTCCCAGGCCACGCACAGACCTGATGTACAGCTCCCAGCTTCTCCGCGGCGCTGGTTGCCCGCCCGACAGCGGCCGCCAGCACAGCCAGGCTACGCTGCAGCTGCTCCAGTGTCTCCTTGCAGCCCACGTCCGTGCAGGATGGACCCAACCTCTGTGGAGGAAGAGGATGGAACTGCCAAAGCCGGGACTTTGAGTTCTCCAAACCCTTATAGGGTTGGATGTCCCCAGCAGATGCCAGTCCCCTGGTGCCCACAGACCTCCAGGGCAGCCCGGCACTGTCCCAGCTCCTCCTGGATGTTTTCCTCTGCTGCATCCCGCGCCCGTTTCTCCACCTGCACCCGTTGCTGCAGGGTGAACACATCGCAGCGAAAAGCCAGGGCGAGGTGGGCAAAGGCTGCCTGCGGGGTGGGAGGGTGAGAGGTGGGACACAGGGTGAAAGAGAAGCCACCAAGGCCATGTCCTGCTGTCCCCAAGGCACAGACAACCCTCTCCCAGCGTGCCACCAAGCATGGCAGCGCTCAGGATAATTAGTCAGGATAATTAGCACTTGCCTTGCCCCACCACCCGTTAGGCTGCTACATGCTGGGGACAGTCCCCGTGAGATGCCAGCCTGATGGAGACACGTCTCTCAGGCAGCTGATAACACATGGAAATCCCAAGCCCTCCTGGCAAGAGCAGGCGGCGGGCAGACGCCAGCCCTCGCTGCAGGTCCCAGCTGACAGCAGAACCTGACTCAGCCCTGGCACTCACAGGATAATTATTTTTATGAGCACGGCCTCTACCACCTCCCCGGTTCAGGGCACTCCCGGAGAGCTGCAGAGCACTTGGTGGGATTGCCGGGTGTGCAGAGGACAGGCTCATCTTGCTGTGGAAATGCAGTTGCCTCCCAATGCCAACAGCATCACCGGGAAAGGGATTTGTAAGGTGGCTGCCAGAGGACTGCGGTGTCTGGAGGGTGGCCAGGAGCAGGGAACAGCCCCAGGGCTGTGAGCCAGCGAGGTGTCCGTCCCTCTGTCCCCCTTCCCCAGCCCACTCATGGCCCCTGGGAGCCCTCACCTCCACATCCTGCTCTGTCAAAGCCATCCTGCAAGAAGAGAAGTGCTGTCAGAGATGGAGGCACCATGGGGACCGCACTCTGAAAATGCCCTTGGTCTGCTCCCATGGGTGCCAGCCACCATCAGAAGTGGGGACCCAAGTGCCCCTTATCTGGAGAGTGGCTCTTGTGCCATGGAAAAGGAGGCAAGTCCAACCCCTGCATGATGCAGTGCCCTGGGACCACCATGTCCCATAGCCCACGGAGGGACACAGGTGCTCACTGGTCTTACCTGTGCAAGCCCAGTCTTTCCAGCACTGAGACCTCACTGGGGAAACCCAGCAGCAGCTCCTCGGGGGTTTCAGCACCTGCAGGGAGGCAGCAATACCACAGGAGAGACCACACATGAAGTCTTTTCCTTGGCCTTTCCTCCTTCCTCTGCCCTCCCACCCCAGCAGGGAGCAGGTCCCCATGGTGTGGGACCATCCCAATCCTTCTCCCAGCATCAGTGGGGCTTTGGGTCCCCCAGGCCATTCCCCTTTCCCCATGTCCCCACCAAGGGAGCAAATTCCATCAAGCCACACTCATCCCTGGCTACTTCAAACTTCTCCCAAAGGAGACCCAGCTGGGATGTGGGATGGGGACTCACCCACCTTCCTCGGTCCCGTTACTGTCCCTGGTGCGCACAGCCAGCTCCTGCCTGCCCGTGCCTGGCACCTGAGGGGCACAAGGGTGTTGTCAGATCAAACCCCTCCCTGGTACTGGGCAACATCCCAAAAAGAGCAGCACAGAGTGGGCTGGGGTCCAGCTGAGCCCCAGGGGCTGGGAAAGGTACCCCAAATCTGTGACCCTCCCCTCCCTCTCACCTCGCTGATGCTCTCCATGCTCTGCTCACTCCCGGCCAAAAGCCTGTCTGGGTGACACTGGGGACTGCACATCCTCCCTGGGGACAGCAAGGGTGGTGGGAGCTGGGCAGCAGCAGCCCCTTCCCCAGCCTGACACCATTGCAGGGGAGACCCCCAAAAACACCCACTGGCATTTCTGCACCTGCAGGTCCCAGGGGACACTGGCTGATGGGTGCCCCCCAAAACCCCCCCGGTGGGGTGAAGGGAGCTGGAGCCAGGCTGGGCCTGGGGGAGGAGGGTGAGGGGCTCCAGTGCAGCAGATGGGTTACAGCTGGTCAGGATGATCCAGGGATGGGATCGGGGTCCCCAGGACTGGAAGGGGTGTGGGGTGCAGGCTGATGCTGTCAGGCCAGGGGACACCCTCCTGCCAGACCCGTGCAATGCTGCTGAGGGAGGGAGGATGCCCAAACCACCCCCTTCCCCCCCTCCCCACCCTGGGCTGCCCTCACCTTCATCCGGAGATGCTGGGAGCTCTGCCTGCTGCTCCCTGCAGAGAGAAGTCCAGGTAAACCCCAAAGAAACTCCAGCAGCATCCCACCCCATCTCCACTCCCCAAGTCACCACGTCACCCCTCGATGAGATGCTGCTCCAGACCTGGGTCCTTTCCGAGCATCCTCTGCAGCCCGCTCTGTCCCCATCCCTGTCCTTGTCCCTGCTCTCCCTGGCACGGGTGCAGCAGCTCGCTCAGCCGCCGCAGAGCCGCCACTGAGGAGCCGGTGGAAGCTGTTTCCAGCCAACAATGAGTCACCAGCCCACGATCGTGCTTCTCCTCAGCACATTATTACTTTATTTATTTATTTATTTGCCCTGGCTGCCGAGCAGACCTCGCTCCAGCCGGCCTCTTCACAGGCATCACAACAAACCTGGCTGCTCCAGAGCTCAGGTGCCATCTCATCACTGCTACAGGGATGGCAGATCTTGGCACACACTCCTCCCCCCAAAAAAACTGCACCAGGATGGTTTCACCACCCCAAAACCCTGTCCTGAGTGTAAGGAAGACTGACAGCTCCACAACATCGCTGCTTGGTGGGGCTGGGGGATGCTGGAGCACACTGGGATGGCAAGTCACCTGTGCATGGAGATCCAGAGGCTGCTGTGCAAACAACCCTCTGCAGCCTCATCCTGGAGCTCAGCACCCAACTGGGAAAGGGTTTGAACCCCCAAACTTCACTCCTGGCTCTGGAGAGGATTATAACAGGGATTTTCCCTCTCCTCCCTGCAAGCCTGGGGGTCATTCCCTGGGAGCGGTGGCTGCAGAAGGGGCTGCTGTGCCCAAATGATGCTCGGTGGGTGATCTGAGCTGGGTGATCATAGAATCATAGAAGGTATTGGGTGGGAAGGGACCCTCAAAGGTCATCCAGTCCAACCCCCCTGCAGTGACAGGGACATCTTCACTGGAGCAGGTTGCTTAGAGCTCCATCAAGCCTGACCTTGAATATCTCCAGCGATGGGGTCTCTACCATCTCTCTGGGCAACTTGTTCCAATGATCCACCACCCTCATATTGAAGAACTTTTTCCTCATATCCAACCTAACTCAACCCTTTTCTAGTTTAAAACCATCACCCCTCATCCTATTGCTCCATGTCCTTGGGAACAGTTCTTGCCCAGCTTTCTCACGGGTGATGCTCCAGCATGTCACCACCATCCCCATCCCAGAAAACTGAGTCGAGCCCTTTGTTCACATACCTCCGAGACAAGGGGCTGGGTCGGTAGCTGGTCCTTGGTCTCTGTCGCCGTCGTCGCCCCTGGGTGAGCCCCTGGATGAGCCCCTGGACCTCCTCTTCCCCCTCTCCCAGCAGCATCCCTGCGAGTGGCTTCATCCGCAGAGCGCGGAGGCTCCGGGACCAGCACACCTATCCTGAGAGACGCCCATTAGCTGCGCGCAGATGGGAGAACGCCTCTAAATGTTATATTTTTAAAGCGTTTTCTCACCCAGCAAGAGCTCCAAGCTCCTCTGCTTAGCGTGGAGACATCTGTGGGAAGAGGTGGGGAGGCCCAATGCAATTCAGGAGGATGCTGCTGGGATTTGGGTGGACACGGAGCGAGGAGAATGAGGAATTTATTCCAAATCCCGTTGCTGTGCAGTGCTGAGGGTGGACTTTCCCACTCGCTGCCCCCGTGTCTCTCCCACAGGACAATCCCTCACCTGGGGCTCATGATGTGGGTTGTTTCCATGGGAGGAGATAAATTTGCACCCACCTGCCAGTGTGAGCACCTGGTGCAGAGTGGGAGTGACCTGCTGTACCCCAAGGAGGGGACAGTCCGGTCCCTGAGCATCCCCCTGCCAGCCTGGCTCCCAGACAGACAAATACAAGAGATTCCCAAGTCCAAGGGATCTTGGATATCTCATTGAAGCTGTTTTGCAATGTTTAAAAATCAGAGAAAGCAGGCAGAAAGTCCAGAGAGTCCCTCTCCCATCCCGGGGGAAAGCCATCAAGCAGAGGGACTCTCCTGCAGGACATGTCTCCTCAGGAGCTGTGCCCACAGACATGCAGATATGGGGCAGAAAGTGATTGGTTTGGGTTTTTTTACATTTTTTTTTTTTGCCCAGGACATGAAATGCAGCAGAGATTTAAGGGGACAGAGAGCAGGGACTGGTTAAAGCCCCACGTGCCTGTGCAAAGCCTTGGACAAGCTCAGTTGTCCCAGCACTGAGTGGGGCCATCACCCATCTCATCCCCATGCCACACGGGGCCATCACCCATCTCCCATCTCCTGCTCAGCCCCGATGGAGTTGTAAAAGCCAGCAGCACTTGGCATCTGTCAAAACAAGCCCATTTTATGCCTATAACACTGGAAATTCTCCCTGACACCTCTGCCAAGGGGTCCCCAGCCACCAGGGATCAGGCAAACTCATCACATCAGTGAGCACCAGAGTTTTCCCGAGGGCTGGTCCCTGCTGCAAAGCTCTGGCTCCGTAACGGCCACAGCAGACCCTGCAGCTGATCAACTCCAGCCCGGGCAGCCTTACAGACACTCATCCTCATCTTTGTTTTACAGATGGAAACACAGAGACACGCAGCTCGTTTGCCCAGCGTGGCATAAATAACCCCCCCGGAGAAGCCAGACCCAGCGTTTCCCCTCCGCTCCGTCACTTCCCCCAACGCTCCCTGGGTCGTTACCTGCCTCAACTTGTCTCAAGCAGCCGAAGGCAGATGGTGGGACCACCCAGCTTAGACCCAGCGCTGTCGGGTCCCCAGCAGAGCCAGGAAGGGGGTCAAGGGGATGCGGTGTGGGTGGCAGATGGTGGGTCGAGGGGTGCTGGGACCCCACACGGTGCAAGCTGCTGGCGGTAGAGTCTCCACGCTCCCTGGGTCGTTACCTGCCTCAACTTGTCTCAAGCAGCCGAAGGCAGATGGTGGGACCACCCAGCTTAGACCCAGCGCTGTCGGGTCCCCAGCAGAGCCAGGAAGGGGGTCAAGGGGATGCGGTGTGGGTGGCAGATGGTGGGTCGAGGGGTGCTGGGACCCCACACGGTGCAAGCTGCTGGCGGTAGAGTCTCCCCGGAGGGGAGAGTGATCACATCTGCGGCAGAAGGAGCTGCCAGGGAAGAGCTGGATGGGAGAAGACCTTTAAAGGACATGCGGGAGAGCGGCTGGGAGCTCCCTGCGCTGGCTGGGGAGGGCTGAGCGGTTTGCAGGTGACAAGGCGACCTCTGCTTATGGCGTGGGGCCGGATCCTGCACCCACTCTTTGGAGGTGACAGCTCTTACCCAAAGCTGGAAGAGACCACAGGCTGCTCCCCCCGTGCCCACTGTCTGCAGAGAGGAGCAGATCTGAGTCTCAGCATCTCCCTGGCAGGAGGCTCAGGACAGGGTGGTGGCACTCAGGACCTCAACGGTGATGGGGGATCCCCGCCATGTCTTCATTGGGGGCACAGCACCAGGCTAAACCAGGAGGGCTGACAAGGAGCCCCAGTAGCATCATATTTGATGACGCAGGGAAGCTTCTCTGCCTGGGATCCCCATCCCTCCTGCCCCTCTCAGCAGCTCCACTTTACCCCCAGCCATCACCCCCATTGCCTGACCCCTTTGCTCAAATCCATCGCATCCTCTAAAGCCTCTTTCTTCCCCTAATGAGCTTAGATGGAGCCAGACCTGATGCTCAGCACCGCAGAGGGTCAGGCTGCAGGCAGACAGCCACTGTCAGCCTCCCCATGTCCCGGGACCCTGATGGACCACGAGGAACAAGCCAGGTCCTTGAGGTCTGCAAATCTCCTAAACCCTCAGAGGTCAGTCAGCAAACAGCATCTCCCAGGGCTGGCCCAGCCTCATACCCATCTGCAGAGAGTGCAGGATGTGGCCCCAGGGCCAGGGGAGGGCTGAGAGAGCCCGTTTTCAGCTTTGAAGCAGGAGTTGTGCTGTGCCACAGTGGGATGAGGTTTTGGAAATGACCATCAGCAATGGTCCCCACCAGGTCAGGACTTCAAACATCCTTGAAGCTTCAGGGATGGGTTTTCTCCTCTTGGGGTAAACACCTCCTGCTTGGACCTGACCCAAAAGCAGAGCTGCTGAGAAATCATGAGTCGTTTTAGGGGAAGGATAGCCCCAAATTCCCATGCTGTCCTCCCTGTAACACAAGATCTAGCAACACAAGCTGTGGTATGCATGATGAGCGCCAATTAATGGCAATTAGCACATCAAAAGTTCAGACCTCCAGTACCAGGAAGACACAGGACATGCTGAGAGGCAGATTGGCACTGTCCCCCTCTGTGTTATAGACTTATAGATCCTTTGCCTTTCCTTAAAAATATCTCCCCTGGGATTTCATCTCTTCTCCAAGCCCTTTAAGTTTTCTATCCATCTCCAAGAGTTTCCAGGCACAAGCCTTCACCACTTGTGCTTCTTTTTAGAGAAGGTTTTGCAGAGACACACTTCTTGGACTGAGTGGAGGTTGTCTGGCTCCAGCCCTTTGAGGATGCTCAGGGCTTGTGATGGGAGGGTCAGATCCATCCCATAGGTAGGTACATCCATGCACGTCCATCTGGAAGGAGCCCAGCCTGGGTGCTGTGCAGCAGAGATGACCCTGAGCAGCAGATCTTCCCCCTATCCCTTACCCTCAGTGCTTTCCCAGCTGCCCAGTGAGTTTGCTGTCTGGCTGGTATCTCCAAAGGCAGATGACTTCTCCAGGCATGCAGTCACGTTTGTGTCAGCACCACTGGTCCCATCACTGGGCTAACTTGCCTCTGAACACTCCTTTGTTTCAGAAAAGGGAGACTGATGGAAAGATCCTTCCTTTGGGCTGATGGAGCCCAGTGCCCCATCACTACAATGATGTTCCTCAAGGATCTCCTCCTGCCTGCAGGGTCTGCTTGGGCACATGGGTCTAAACTATATTTTTTATATTGCCAAGTGCTTTTTCTGGCCAAGCACAAGGTCGTGGAAGTATCAAGCAGGACATGGAAGTACAAGAACCTTCAAAGCATGATGCTGAGTAGATGGAGGGTACAAAACATGGAGGACAGAGGATGGACACCTTTGCATACACCAGTGCCTTGCCATCAACACAGCCTGGTCCTGCTGGCCCTGTCCCCACAGAGACCCTGCTCCCCCCCACCCTGAGAGCAGCAGCCTGGCACTGGGCAGGCAGCAGATCAGGCTCCACAGCCTCTGCTCGAGTGTCCCAGCAGGTCCAGGGCTGCAGCAAATTACTCCATGGAGGACACAGACCTAAGGACACCATCACCTTGGTTCCCCACACCAGAATTGAGCTTTTCTGCTCCCAAACTCCTCTATTCCCTCCCGCACACACATGCTGAGGGGTTCACCGAGAGGCAATGCCTCCCTTTGCAAACCATCCCGTTCAAAGAGCCTCCAAAAGCACTTCCTAAAAGCCCCTGGGGATTTTGATGCAGTCTTATTTTTAACCTGGGAGCATCGTGATCACAACCTAGGTATTGTAGAACCTCGACCAAACAAAAGCAGCCCAGCTCCCCATGCACAGACCTGTTCAGCGGGGATGAATGAGATCCTGCTGGGAGATCTCCAGCCCAGAGAGGTGAGCAGAAGCAAGCTGCTGGGACCTCCAATTTTGCCCCACGTGTCTCCTTCCAGCCAGGTCCCACCAGCAATGCAGCAGCTTAATGCGACAGCATCTTCCCAGGGCTCCTCCTGAAGCTGAGCTGAACTTGCAGCTCAGATCACAGAGACCGTGGTCATCTGGATTATCTACTTCTCAGAGGAAAGCTGCTCTGATCGACACTGGCTGCTACTGCTGATGTGGCAAATGTGATTTATTAGGTCTGTGCAGGGGGCTCAGTCCTGCAACAAGCATAAAACAACACCCCAACCACCAGCAAATTAATCTTCATGTGGTCCTGGTGTCCCCAGCTGACAGGGACCTGGCAGCCACCAGGCTATTGAAGGGAGAACACGATTCTCTTATGATGATTAAAAGGTTGTTGGTGAACAAAACCCCAAAACAAACCACAAAACAACCAGAAGTTTTGCTTCTTCTGGTTCAGTTTGAAATTTCAGGTTGAAAAAAGACAAGTGCTGAGCTTTCCCCCGAGCAGTTCAGTCTCTGGGTGTCACAGCCGCCAGATTTCCACGCAAAACTGCGTCAGCACGTCGGGGATTACGTGTGTGGGATTAACAGGTTGTCACTAACCCATGGTTGGTTCCCTCCAGGGAGAAGCAGGGTGACTTTATCAGCTCCAAGTGTTGCTGCAGGAGGGGACACAGTGGCTGGACATGCCTGCAGCTCCCGTTTGGAAAGGGACAGTCCCTCAGGGGATGGGTACAGACTCTTTCCAGCAAAGCAGGTGAGTTCCAGCCCTTTCCAACAAGGTGTTGCATGGACCAAGGTAGTCTGGCTCCTACACAGCTCTGATGTTTGGTGTTTAACATCCATGGGTGCAGCATTCATATGCTCCTGCCCACCTATGCTGCTTGGTCATGGCACTAAGATGTCACTTAGGGAGTGGAGACAGCATCTTGTCATGAAAGCAGTTCAAAAATCACCGTGGGTGGATGGGGAAGCAGCAGAGCGGGCAGACAAACCCATGCAACTGCATAAAATTCATTTCCTCGGAAAAAACCCCACCCTTATAAGGCCAAAAAGGGAATTCCCCTCCTCTGTACCATGAAGGAAAGGAATCTCTACAAACAGAAGAGGAAGCAGATAAGAACTACTGTCAAATGTCCCAAGTAAATTGGCTGAAAAGTAGACATTGCCTTCTACATACAGCCTAGAAAATCTCTGAGACAAAACTTCAGCCCTTTCACTTCAACACTGTTAATAAATCAGGACAAAGACAAACCCAGACCTGGGTCTCCCTCTGGTCCTGGATAAAGTTCTGCTGAACTATAAAACCTGACTGATATTTTATGACAAGTCCACCTCTTTGCACTGTTGGGGCTGGAGTTTAAAGTTCTTGAGAAGGTCAAGGGAGTCAAAAGGAAAGTTTTCCATGTGGGTGCTCCCAACCACCACATAAACAAGGTCTTTCCCCACCATGTCTCTTGTCTCCAGGGTTTGCTTCCAGTTCTCCTGACATGACTTATCTCACACATACACCCCAAAGGAATCCGTGGTACATGATAAGCTGCAGCCAAGAGCAAAAACAGGGCTAAGGAGTCTCTTTCCACCAGCCAGCGTAATGCTCTCCATCGGAACGTGACCCCCCTCTTGCAGTTTGACTTCTGTTTCTTGCAAAATCCACATAGGCTGGCCCAAAAATCCAGCTCCCAGTATCTCCAGATGAGTTGGAAGTGGAAGCCGCATGCGGCACGTATCAGCCAAGAACAGCCCATCAACACGAGACCATTGCCAGTGAGCAGTTACAAAGCCAAAGATCCATCAAGGAGGAGACACACACCACAGCCAGGAGATTTCAAACTCTCTACTGACACCCAGTCCATGGAGATGCCGGGGCTTCCCCACAGTGCTCTAGATATACGTGGCACACATGTTCCTCCAGCTCTTCTTCAGCAAGGCCACCAACAATCTGCCAAGCAGCTGAATTTTGAAGATGAGTTCATCCTTGGTCATCTTCATGTGACCGACAGCCACAGGCAGATGGAGCACTGGGGACAATGACACTGAGGTCACTTTGTAGAAGCTTTGCAGGGAAACTGTGAAGACTGCAGCTTGCTACCTAATAAAGCCAGAAGAGCAGACTCAGACCTTGATGATCAGGCCACAACTTCTATTTATGTCGTATTTTGGGCAGCCCTACAATAGCTTCAATATACTCAGCCACTAACTCACTGCTATGCAAACACATCAACAACTTGGCTCCCTGGAGGTTTCTTTCCTCCAGCTAATGTAGACTTTGAAGCCTCACCAGTTCCCTGTCACCTAAAATAGCTTAAGAGGTTCTTCCCATCAAGAAATCCATGCTCTCAGCATTAAGAGCATCACTTTAAGTTTCATTCCTCTGGCTGGATCTAAACATTAATGAGCAAACTGGAAGCAGTAACATGTCACACCTCCATGGTTTAATTCCTCTTATCCCTTTGTAGATGTAAATGTTTATGAATTTTTAAATAGTTCCTCAAGTATGCAACGCTTCAAAACCTCCATTCAAACTCTGGTGCTACCTCCCTCAGAGTCCAGCCACTCTCTCCCATCCTTATGTTTCCAGTTCCATGCCCAGAAGGTGTCCAGTCAAGGTTTCCAGTGGGTGTTTTCAAGGATACAGGATAGAAATTTGGAAACAATCTCCTTAGAGAAGCACTTTTTTATTAGTGTGTCATTAAAAAAAAAATCTTGCAATGGGAAGTGCCACCATCACCACATTGAAAACCAGAAGTGTGACACACAGAGAGGGCCCCTTGCAGGGCCTGGCAAAAGAGAAGAAATTAAGATATAAAGCAGAAAATTCAAGTTTACCAGTTCTCCATCTAAACCCCATTCTCCCACATCCTGATGTTTCCAAATCCCAGCAGATCATTGCCACATCACCCCAAAATCAGCTTAGCCCTTGGAAAGGCACAAAACACAGCACTTGGGCCTTGACTCTTTTGAGCCAAGAGAAAAACATGATGAGCAATTAAATCTGGTCCAGAATGATCATCTTCAAACAAGAGGAAATCAGTCTGTGTCTTGATTCAGTGATGTGTCAGAGGCATCAAGACCTGAGGACCTGGGAACTCAATGCAACATCATTTGCCAGGTGCTGCAGGTCATCACAACACTTAAAATACGAAGGTTTTGGACAAGTTACCCCTTTGTCACCAGGAGTGAGGAGAGGGAGGTTGATCAGCTTTGTGTAGAGCTGGAGCCATGAAGAAGCAACCTGCTTCATCAAGGGCTGATGACAAGAAGGTGTCACACTTCTCATCTGTGGGAAACAAAACCAAGGGCACACACAGGAAATGCTGCAGCTGTGTCACTCCATTTTAATCAGAAAGTGGATCTAAACTGAGCAAAACAAGTTGAGACACCTGCAAACCAGACTGATGAGACACATGGATGCTCAGTCAAGCTCTTCAGATTTACAAGTTATCAGAGATGCTGCTGCAGGGTAGGAGACATCACATCATCCAGCGCACTCATCAAGCCAAAGGGGACCTGGAGAAGGGCTTTGCTTCTTCTGCAGCTTCTCAGTGCCTGGTCAAGTAACATTGGGACCTGCTCGATGGAAAACCCCTTTTTTTATGAGGGAATATAGAGGGAAAATGGGCAGTTCCCTCTCGGAGGGGATAATGGCAGCTGGCCTTGGGTCCAGGATTGCTTCAGGCACCTTTAGGTGCTCTTCAAGTACTTCTGTATCAACATTACTCCATTGATAATGGAAAAGTAATGGATTTTCTGTTTTCCTGATTAAGAAAAGCCATCCTTTGGGCACAAACCATCTACAATAGAGTCACCTTTATGCAATGACCTCCATCCAGGCGATGGGCAGCCTGGCCACCCCTCACGCCCATGAGGGTCAAGTGTCAAGGTGGGGCAACCCAGGGCTTTGCGATGCCCACGTCGCTGGAGATTGGGAGAGGAAAGGAGAGGCACTGCCCTGAGACATCCTGCACCCTGGTCCCTCCACAGCTCCTCCTCTGCCACCATCTTGGGAGAGGTGGGGAAGGAGCCGCCATCTTGAGCGTGGCAGGGTGGGAAGGTGGGAGATGCCATCTTGACTGTGGTGAGGCACCCATGGCTGTGGGCTCTGCAGTGACCCAGAGACAGACCAGAACACAGACCTGACTGGAAATGTATTGTTTAACCAAGAAAACCCTCATCTTCAAGCCCTGGGGTGTGTGTGGGGCAGGGTTGGTGTCACCCAGAGACAGTGTGCCTCAAACCAGGCTGGCTGAGGGCAAGGGTGCTCCCCACACCCACACCCCACACTCACTGGGGTGCTCACTGGGTCTTCATCATGCTGGCAGTGAACCCCAGTGAAGGACTGGGCTGCAGCTACTGTTGCTTCACATGCATCCTCCACCCAAGGAAGCCATCGCCTTGCAGCTCCCTTTGGTGTTCACCTTGAAGTTGGAGGGAGAAAGAGGAGAAAAATCAAGAATTAGGGGAATTTACCCAGGGTCTGCCAGCAGCCACACTCCAGCACAGCTTCTGGGGGCACTCGGTGGCTTCCCACCACTTGATGCAGACCAGGAGCACAGAGGCCGCCGTGTCCCCCCTGAGAGAGACCCCAGCCCAGCATCCATCTCACCTGGTTCCTTCCAGCACAGCCTGCAGTGACTTCTTCAGAGCCACGTTGCTCTGATCCAAAGCAGCAGCCAGACGACTCCGGTGAGCTGGAGTGACCTGAGATGGAGAGGAACAAGATGCTGAGAGAGCTGCATTGCCAGGAGCCCACCTGAGACCCCCCTGGGCCAGGTCCTGGCTCAGCTGCAGCCCTGGCTGTCAGCTCCCCAGCTGATCTGCAGGTCCCAAGCTTGGTCTTACTCACTTGGCTTTGGTACATGGTGAGCACGGCTGTCACCAGCTTGGCGTAATTCAGTGACGTGGAGAAGGCTGGGACCTGCTGGCACAGAGTCAGGACCAGGAGATCAAACAGCTCAGGGGGCAGCACCTCCTGGAAGAGAACCACAAGCAAGGAGAAGAGCTGGACCTCACTCCAGTGATGCTGGAGCTGGCAAGGTCATGTGGGGGGACAAAAGGGGGTCCCCTCACCTGCCGCCCCAGCACAGCCTGCACCACTGGCAGAAGCTTCTCTGACAAAGGCACCTCCAGGACCTGGCTGCAAAGGTTGGTGAAGAGGAGATGTGATGCTCATATGGCCTCGCAGGTGCTCCTGAGCCAGCTGGAGCCATTGAGGCAGGTGTGAGGGCAGGGGCAGAGCTGTCACCCCATAATCTCTTACCTCAGCACCAGTCTCACACAGTCTGGCTCCAGGCACTCCTCCACAAGCTCACACACCAGCTTGGCCTGCTCAGCACCTGCAAGAGCAAAGCAGAAGGGAGAAGAGCCTCCAGAGCCAAATCCATGGGGATGTGCCTGCCCCTTCCTGGAGTCCCTTCACACAGGGGTACATCCCAGTCAGGACACCCAGAAACCACGTAGATCCCCCTTCTACTGTTCAGGATAATCCAGCTTCTTTTGCCCATCTGCAGCAAGAGTTTAATGACAGAATCACTGAATCGTAGTGGTTGGAAAGGATCTTTAAGATCACAGAGTCCAACCATAAACCCAACACTACCAATTCCACCTCTAAACCATGTCCCTCAGCACCTCATCTACCTGTCTGTTAAATCCCACCAGGGAAGGTGACTCCACCACCTCCCTGGGCAGCCTGTTCCAATGCCTGACAAGCCTTTGGATGAAGAAGTTTTTCCTGATATCAAATTAGCACCAGTCCCTAGGAAAAGGGGATGCCACTGCAGCAGGGATTCATGGAAGACCCTCTTCTTGTGCCAGCAGAGCCTCCCTGGAGCAATTTTGGCCCCAGCATGTCAGGAAGCCTCTAGTCCAAGGAGGGATGGCAGCTGTCCTTTAGGAGAACGGATGTTGGAAACCAGCCTGGCCTCCCTTCCCTCTCCACCTCAGGCATCCGTAAACCCATAGTCCATCTGAACTCCCAAGTGCTCATCACCTTGGTCCCAAGTGTACCCAGATAAAACCAGCACCATCCCTCCATGGTTCCTAACACATGTTTTGGGTGATAAATGCCTCCCAGGAGACAGCCCACTGCAGCTGGGGCTTCCCTTCCTGCTGGAATCAGCCCATGGTCCCTTTCCAGCTCCCTCAGTCACTCCCAGAAGAAGCTGTGGCCTCCTGTGAGCCCATCACACCTTCTCCCGGCTCCCGCAGGATCGCAGCCACCAGGACTCGACAGAAGGGTTGGGAATACTTGGAGCAAAACGAAGTGAGGGCAGCCATGAGGTGACGGGAGGGCGGCTGGGTGAGGGACAGGACCTAGGGACAGAAACATCAGGAGATGGGGATGGTGGTGATGGAAATGGGGTGCAGGAAACCTCTGTCCCCACACTTACTCGCTTGAGAAAGAGCTGCTCTGCCAGGATGGCCGTGTTGGTGTAGCTGAGGTCAGGGCTGAGAGCCAGCAGCCAGCTGCAGAAACGCACCAGGAGGTGCTCTGGGCATGTGGAGAGCTGGAGGAAGGAGCACAGCCCCTCAAGCTGGAGGTGGTAGAGGGGACAGGGACATTAGGGACAGCAGCAGGCACTCCATGGCACCAGTGTATGCAGTGAGGATGCTGAGGCTCACCTGGCCAGGAGAGCAGCTGTTCAGGATGTCCAGCTCTGGTGGGATGCTCATCTCTGAGTGCTGCGGGGAAACATGGTCCTTGAGTAAAACACCAAATAAAGGGACCCAGAAAAACCAGCTCGAGGGCTTTTCTCCTCCCAACCTCCTACTGACCACGCAGGCTGCCCATCGTAGAGCAGATCCCTGCAAGGTGGAGGCAGCTATTAGCAGGGTTGTCTTTTTATTCTCCTCCAGTCATCCCCTGTGAAACCCACCTCCTCCTCCTCCATCCCTCTGCCATGAGCCTGTTTGACCATCAGCTCCAGGAGGAGACAGAAACAACCACTTACATGCGACTCCTTCTGCAGCAGCATCTTCAGCCTCGGTCCATGCACCTGGGGAAAATTAGGTGAAGGAATAAATCAGAGTGTAAAGTCTCACTGGCTGGAATCAGACTGGTTTGGGTTGAAGGGACCTTTCAAGGTCTCTAATCCAACCCCCTGCAGTGAACAGGGACATCTTCAACCAGAGCAGGTTGCTCAGAGCCCCTTCCAACCTGACCTTGAATGTTTCCAGGGATGGGGCATCTCTCTGGGCAACCTGGGCCAGGGTTTCACTACTGCTGGAAGGGGACAGCAAACCCTGACTGGTACCTGGAGAAAGGACTGGACCTCCACAGCCAGCTCTGCCTGGGAAATCCTCCTGGGTTCACCAGCTGCATCCTGCTGGGAGCTTTCCAGAGCAGCCCTGTCCGGGCTCTGAGCAGATCTGTCCCCTGAAGTCTCCCCAGACACCTCATCTTCCACCCCTGCTGCATCCTCATCCTCCTGGGTTCCTGGGGAATCAAACGCTGCCTCCTCCAGCAGCAACCTCTTCCCCTCTCTCTCCTCACCCAACTCCAGACTCTCCTGAGACACTTTTTTGCGCTTCCCACCTTGAAGCACAGACTCAGCCGCATCCCCAGCAGCACCAGGCCGCTCGCTGAAGCACCAGTTCAGTTTCCTTCGTCCCTCTGGTTTGTTCTGGGCAATTTTCTGGCACAGACACCGAAGCTGCTGCTGGCACACAGAAGACAAAGGGGCAGGAGGTGGGGAGTGCTCCTCTCTGCTCGATCCCTGCCGGAGCAGATCCCTCAGCGTCCGCACCCAGGGATCCACGTGGGAATCCTGTTCCACAGCCTGGAGCAGCTGGACAAGGCAGCTCCCCGGAACCATGGCGTGCACCACGTGCAGCAGAGAGAAGAGGTTCCTCTGGCACACGACGGGGAGCAGCAGCAGACATGGTTTGCTGAAAAAAGGGGAAAAAAGGGAAAAGCAACATGTCAGAGCAAAGCCTGGCGTCCTTACTGCCAACCTGTCCCCTGGAGCAGGGTCTAACAGGACTAGGAAGGGAGAGGAGACAAACACCTTCACCAGCTTTGGCAGATACAAGTTGGAAGACTGACAGGTCCCTGCTATGACCAGGACCTCAAGCATGGACCATTGCACAGGGAAGGTGATGGATAGTGCCAGATTAGGCACCCAACACACCAAACAGAGCACAAGTGTGCTGAGTTCATGGCTGAGGGAACTGGGGGTGTTGAGCCTGGAGAAAAGGAGGCTGAGGGGAGACCTTCTGGCTCTGTCCAAGTCCCTTGGAGGAGGGTGGAGAGAGGTGGGGGTGGGTCTGTTCAACCAAGGAGCAAGGGACAGGACAAGAGGAAATGGGCTCCAGTTGTGCCCAGGGCAGTTGAGATGGGATGTGAGGAAGAATTTCTTTGCTGAAAGGGTTCTGAGGCATTGGAAGGGGTTGCCCAGGGCAGTGGTGGAGTCCCCGTCCCTGGAGGGATTGAAGAGTCGTGTAGACACAGTGCTGAGGGACATGGGTTAGTCGGGGACTGGTCAGTGTTGGGTTCATGGTTGGACTCGATGATCTTAAAGGGCTTTTCCAATCCAGGCAATTCTGGGTTTCTATGAAATCTCCCACGAAACATCAAGTTTTGGGAACGCAGCCGACTCACACAGCCAGGGCCCCCTCCGGCCCCTCCAGCGTGGGCTCCTCGGCGCACAGGGCTACGGTGAAGCTCTGCCAGGGAAATGCCTGTCCCTGTCCCTCGTGGGCTGGGACCCGCTGCAGCATTCGGAGGGCGGCCAGTGTCCCGGAGGAGCCGGAGGC